ATAAGAAATAACGGTATGATTCATGAACTTACTTGTGTTGACACCCCCCAACAGAATGGGGTTGCTGAAAGAAAAAATCGTCACCTTCTTGAAGTGGCTCGTGCATTAATGTTTCAGACACATGTACCCAAATACTATTGGGGAGATGCTATTCTTACTGCAACATTCTTGATCAACCGTTTACCCACTCGGGTACTTGACCATATAAGTCCTATTCACTCTATGACTTCTTTTTTCCCTTCTATTCCAACTATGATGAGTCTTCCTCCACGAGTGTTTGGGTGTGTTGCTTTTGTTCATGTTCATAAATATCATCGCAGTAATTTGGACCCTAGGGCTATCAAATGTGTTTTTCTTGGTTATGTTCCTGATAAGAAAGGCTACAAGTGCTATCACCCTAGTAGTAGGAAATTTTTTGTTTCTATGGATGTTACATTTCAGGAATCTGAGTCCTTTTTCCAAGGTCCTCATCTTCAGGGGAGAATCCTTCACCAAAAATCTCATCACCTCCCTTCCTTGAGTTTGAATCCTCAGTGTCTACTCCTTTACCTATGTCAGTGTATCCTCCACCTGGTCCTGTTCCTCTTGTGTATGTTCCTCCTGTGTCTGATCCTCTTGTGAGTAATCCTCCTGTGACTGATTCTCCTGTGATTGATACATCAAGTACACCAGAGATACGAAAGATTATGACACCTGAAAGAAGGAAACAACCTACATTGTCTCAGCAGCAACCTCAATCGTCTGAACCACTGGTAAGTCCTGAATCTCATATTTCTGATCATGATGTTAATACTTCTGATGACTTACCCATTACTACTGATTCTGATGATTTACCCATTGCTCTTAGAAAAGGAAAAAGAGCTTGTCCCAAGAAATCTTGTCTCTCTTGTCCCTCTTGTACTCAATACCCTATCTCCCAGTTTGTTTCCTCTGCTAATCTTTCTGTGCAGCACAAAAGCTTTGTTTCAGCACTAGACTCTATTGCAATCTCAAAATCAGTACATGAAGCCTTGAAAGATAGGAATTGGGCTCAAGCCATGCAAGAGGAGATGAATGTTTTGGAGAAAAATAAAACATGGGAGGTTATTGATAGACCCAACGAAAAGAAAGTAGTAGGGTGCAGATGGGTTTATGCCCTGAAATATAATTCTGATGGCACTCTTGAGAGATACAAGGCTCGATTAGTGGCCAAAGGTTACACTCAAACATATGGCATTGATTATGAAGAAACCTTTGCTCCAGTTGCAAAGATGAATACAGTGAGAATCTTGTCATCCCTTGCTGCCCATTACAATTGGGATATAAATCAATTTGATGTGAAAAATGCTTTCCTCAATGGTGAGTTAGAAGAAGAAGTCTACATGGAAATCTCGCCTGGTTTTGATTCTGTGAAGGGGGAAAATAAAGTTTGTAGATTAAAAAAGGCCTTGTATGGATTGAAGCAGTCACCTCGTTCTTGGTTTGGTAGGTTTACTAAGGTTATGATGACCTTAGGATACAGACAGAGTCAAGGAGATCACACTCTTTTCTTCAAGCACTCCCAAAATTGGAAGCTTACTGTGCTCCTTGTATATGTTGATGATATTATTATCACATGTGATGATTTTATGGAGAGACAGATTCTGCAAACACGGCTTGCCTCTGAGTTTGAAATCAAAGACCTTGGGAAACTGAGATATTTCCTAGGGATAGAAGTAGCTCATTCAAGCAAAGGAATTTTTATCAGCCAGAGGAAATATGTTTTGGATCTTCTCAAAGAAGCAGAAAAGCTCGGGTGTAAACCCTCTAATACTCCTATTGAGCAGAATCACAAGATGGGCTATGAAGAAGAGAGTCCTCTAGTTGATAAATGACAATATCAACGGCTAGTTGGGAAATTGATATATCTGGCCCATACTAGACCAGACCTAGCTTATGCTGTTAGTGTTGTCAGTCAGTTTATGCACGATCCAAAGGAAAAACACATACAGGCAGTAGAGAGAATTCTTCAGTATCTTAAAGGTACTCCTGGTAAAGGATTGTTGTTCCGACGTGATGGCAATCTATCTTTAGAAGTCTACACAGATGCTGATTATGCTGGATCCGTGACTGACCGTCGTTCTACCACTGGTTATTGCATGTTTCTTTGCGGTAACTTGGTGACATGGAGAAGTAAGAAACAAGATGTGGTTGCCAGATCAAGTGCAGAAGCTGAATTTCGAGCTATGGCTCAAGGCATTTGTGAGTTACTGTGGCTGAAAATTGTACTTGATGATCTCAAAATAAAATGTGAGGGACCTATGAAGCTGCTATGTGATAATAAGTCCGCTATTTGTATAACTCATAATCCAGTTCAACATGATCGGACTAAACATATTGAGGTCGATCGCTATTTCATCAAAGAGAAACTTGATAGCGGGTTGATTACCACTCCATACATTCCCACTGGGCCTCAATTAGCTGATCTATTAACAAAGGGGCTTCCTTCAGATAGATTTCAAGAACTTACTAGCAAGCTGGGAATAATAAATATCTATTCCTCAGCTTGAGGGGGAGTGTTGTAAATAATAATTATTTAGTCATTTATTTGTTGTAGTGGGCCAAGCCCATTAGGTCAAAATTAGGTCAAGTATTCTCTATAAATAGAGAACCCTAGCAAGTTCTTGAAATCTATCTGAAGGAAACCCATTTGTCAATAGATCAGCTAATTGACGCCCAGTGGGAATGTATGGAGTGGTAATCAACCCGCTATCAAGTTTCTCTTTGATGAAATGGCGGTCGACCTCAATATGTTTAGTCCGATCATGTTGAACTGGATTATGAGCTATACAAATAGCGGACTTATTATCACATAGCAGCTTCATAGGTTTGTACAAATTATACAAAATTTCAATAATATTTCAAATACCCTTTTCTTTCGAGTGTTCCCAAATTTCATCTTAGCATTACCCCCACTCAACCAACCTCCGGCCAACTTGCCCCGGGAGTAGCATCTTGGAGCTTGATCCTCATTGGAATTTGGAACAAAGCCTGCGTTAAAATAAAGGTATGATTGAATTAATCCCCCACTGAGACTTGAAGCGGAAAGATTTTGTCCTGAACCAGAAATAGTCTTTCCAAAGATCGAACTTATCCTTGGGGCACACTACGCGAACCGAGTATGTCACCCCTTGGTTGGGAGTTGAAATTTAACTGAATCCTTGGGGCACACTCCGATCCAATCGCAACAAAAAGCACTGCATCAAGCGGTGCATGCGAGCTTCATTTATAGTATAAAAAGTCCTAGAACAAAGATAAAGCAAGCTAGAGAAGGGCAAGGAAGAAAGGGAGAGGGAACCGAAATGCACCATATATACTCCGTCAAGGGGTAAAAAAAATTGAAGTGCTATTAGTAGCAAGCGAGCTTTCAAAGATGGAGAGATAGGGGGAAATGGAAGAATTAGCTGTTGGTCATTTATTATGATTGTGATCTTTAATTTTTTTTTGGATATAAAATTATGGTTCTGAGATTATAGTTTAATATAAATTATTTAAACCCCTTATAACTATCCCAATTTAATAACTTGTGGTCTTTAATTTTGATTCGAAGATTGTGAGTGTATCTTATTTTTCATGATATATGAGTCATATATGTCCAAAGAAAAACAGCTGAAAAACACAATAATGAAAGAAAGGATGGAATTCTTACGTATAATGCCAATTATGTCGAGTAATCCTGAAACACCTAAAAGAAAAATTCAAAAAGAAAATTAGGGAACTAAATGAACACTAATAAAAAGAATTTTATATGATCTTACATACATATACAATTGTTCTGAATTACATGCATATTAAGTTATATTTCAAAGTCGTTCAAAAAACTGACTACAATATATATATGTGGGGTTTGATTTTCTCATGTTGCATGAGAATTCAATTCTCATGTTGTGACTCAACTAGAGGTAGTCCCACATTTATTAAAAAAAGAAAAAGAAAAGAATAGCTTTGCACGTAAATCGAAGGGTCACAACATGAGAATTGAATTCTCATGCAACATGAGAAAATGTTTTCCATATATATATATATATATATATATATATATATATATATATATATATATATATATATATTGGTAAATTACTTTGAATATAATATTAAATACTTAAGAAAGTACTGCTTTTTTATAACGATATAATAACAGATAATTAAATTATAATATTATGGGTGACAGAGATAACCTTTTGTACAAAACGCAAATTAATTTTGATTGGTGTTACCAAACAAATTTGCAGTACTTCTTATAGAAAAATTCAGCTGAGAAACTTGAATTGAAACTATTTGCTGATGATATCGAAACTATAACAAAACGTAAATTTTAAGTTGTACAACTCTTAAATTTTGCACACTGTTTTTTACATCACTCTTTCATTAATATTTTAAGAATGGAAAATCATTTTAATTCATATTAAAAAATCATGATATATCAAAAGATGAAAAAAAAAATGTTAAACAATATTTTCCATGTAAATGTTTGGGAATTGATATGTGAAGAATATTCTTTCCCAATAACTGATATAAAATAACTGTTGCACATAAAAATAATTTGAACTTGACCCACATAAAGAAGTGTATAATTGAAAGTTACATGAGGTATAAAACATGTTTTTTTTTTTTAATTATTCAGGGAAATATTTCTGTCATATTACATGAGATAATTTATTTAATGCAATATATATAAAAATGAATGGAAAACATTAAGTAAAAAAAAAGTGGATATTACTAACTTTTTGTGTATTGCATGAGACAAAATAATTGAGAAACATATTTCTCAATTATTTATTATCGTTTTTTTTTTTTGGAAAATTAACATGAATCACTAATAAAAGACAAATGTATATATTTACCCAAAAAAGACAAATGTATAATTATTGATAATCTAGTAGGAAAAATAAAATAGAAAGCGCTCAATGCAAAAAATTAGAAAGCTATAAAAAAAAAAAAATAAATAAAAATGAGCGTGAACGAAATTATGTGCTTGTTACCGCAACTGTTGGTGAATATGAATCCCCGGAAAACATCACGACAGTTTGGCAGCGGGGTACATCGGACCCTAGATTCATCCAAAAGCGAGCAATCATTTCCCTTTCCGCAGTGTTCGTCACAAATAAAATGTCCCCAAAACAGCCAAAATCCATAGGCCAGCAAGTTGTGGATCTCATCATAGGAAAAGTTTTTATTGTAATAGAAGTGGCGGTCTTCTTGCAATGTCCTCGAACTTGCCAAAGAAGCCACCTTCAATTGGCACCCAACCTTGATGTCCATCGCATTAAAATCTAATGAATATTCATGTATCAGAACAGCATAGAAGTGCCCTCCAGTGCCACAACGAGTTGTATCCACCTTCACATATCGACGATCATTAGTTATTGGTTTGGTACAGTTGAAGTATGCTGCTCTTCTATGTAAGTGAAGCGCACTCAAAATAAGCGGATTTGTTCTCCCCCGGTTAATATTATCACTGAAATTGGTAGAATACAAGAAATAACGGGGGATGAAGGAGCAAGTAGTGTCTTCCACAACACCCGCGTCACTCACTCTGATACTGTAATCCGTGTAATTGATGTGGTGAACGAGGTATTTCCCTGAAAATAGAGTTAAAAATGTTGCGTTGTTCTCGCAATCTAGTTCGTACCTCTTGTTGCCGCAGTGTGATGGGTCACCAGAGAGTCGAAATGGATAACTTATGTTGGGAATATTGCCACAGGATGAAGCAGGACAATCGTGGGTGGATAAGGCAGTACAAAAACTTTGTAGGAATACGAAAAGAAAGGTAGCTACAGACCATATTGCTCTCCTTTCCATCCTTGTCTGGATCAGATGAAGTCGATGATTCAGAGTCTTTTGGAGAATTTAATTACCTGGGGGCATTTACACTAGTGATTCACTAACTTAGCATTAAAAAAAAAATTAATGTTTATCGTGTGCAAAGATATAAAATTATCTTTTACATAATTATAAAAATATATAGCATTCACATGGAGCCAACTGAGAAGGAGAGAAAAATAAAAAAATATGAATCTCATATACTTTTATGAATGTGTAAGAAATAATTTCATCTCTTATAAAAAAATTTTACAAAAATAATTTTATTTCACAGTGGAGGCCATGTGTCTTGAGATGGCGTTCACACTTCACAATATTTAAAGCATTTTGGAGGCCTAAATTTTGTTATTTTTTTGTCACGTTTTGTTTTATTCTAATACAGAAACAAATCAGTCAAAGTACTCCAATCTTGACTATGGTCGCGAGCTTAAGAAAATAATTTACTTTGGAAGCATGGATGCCTCCACCTCCACGTGATTCCAGTTGTAAAGGAACTGTTCAATCTTGAACGGTGTGGAGAAAGGAAAGCCCACGAGGCCCATATTATTAGGGGAAATGATAGTTAATTATTTCGATTAAACTAAAATTTTATGAATAATTTTAATGTACTGTATATGACTTGAAAAAGATTATATTCAATCAACCATTTAATGAGATTAATATTTTATGTGATTACTAATATAACAAAATTTATTTATCAATATAAAAATACATAATAGTGTAAAAGAATTTGTAATGCAGTGTTTCAAAATTAAATTAAATTTTTTTCATTATAATTTAATTTTTTTCTCAGAAACTTGATTTTACAACAAGATAATTAAAATCTGTTCTTTCGAAGATGGTTAGTTGTACTTGCATTAACCGCTTTTGATTCAAAGAGAGAAAAAAAAACCATTTTTCGTGCAAAATGCATGAATCGAAATGTGTTAGCGATATTATTATAGGAAAAGTGTTTGCTTTTTTAAATTACACAACTTATCATTTCACTCTCACAAATATGTGGAATCCACATCTTTATATTTTTTTGTCCATTCTCTCTTCTTTTTTATCTATCTTTTTCTCTCACTTAAAATGACACAATTTTACACCCTTTAACATGATACACATTTTTTCCTATTATTATATAAGGAAGTGTTACTATCCATGAACAGGAACACTTTGCCTTTGCCACTCATGTTTTGGTACTTCACGAGGAATTCAGATTAGGAAGCTTTAAGAGCGGATAAATGATATCTGCCACAAATAAAGAAAGGATAAAGAAAAAAATATTATGGAATGAGAGAAAAATATAATTGGGATCCACTACCTTTCTCTCTTCATGGCAGATAACGTTTATCTGCTTAAGCAGAAATAATATTCCCATTGAGATTATAAAAAAGTTAAGAAGAATTTCAAATCAATCCTATGCCTCAACAACTACTCACTCAAATGCGGTGACGCGAACTCAGCTAATTCTTCACTCATTATAAATAATGGAACCTCCATAAAAGATACTCATATATTCCTTACCACTTAAAATTTCTTGTTCCTTTTAATGCTCGAGCTTAGGGGTGCTAATGTGTTATCATTGTTGTTAAAATGTAGAGTCTATGTAGAAACCGTAAGAATGAATAGAATCATAAAATCGTAAAAGCGTAAATGAAATATAAGAATATACTTCATACCAAAAAAAAAAACTAAATATCCAACATATATAAATTCAAAACGCAACAATACATAAGTCATCACAACTTTAAATTCATATAAAAGAAATAAAATTAGAAAAGAGATTCAACATCTCTAATAGAAGACACCAAATAAATTAAAGTTATGATTAGAGACTCATAATGGTTTGAGCTTTTATCACAATGCTTTACAAAAAGAAGCACTAAAAAAATAGTTTTAGCTTTTAATACAATGCTTTACCACCGTTTGAACAGGTTTTTGGATCAAGAAACATAGAAATGGTCGTTTCTATCGAGTCAACTCGATGTTTTAACAACATTGGGTGCTGCTCAAACCCACATGTTTCTTTGTAATTATTGTAGAAACATTTTGTTGCACCTTTGAAGAACTAATAACCCCATCTCCTATGTCCAGAATATTCCAGTGGACTTTCATCATATACTAAAATTAAGAGGGCGTAAAAATTTCTCCGATTTAATCTATCATTAATATTCAATGTCATAGAGCCAAGCTCCAAATTAACATTACGTATTTGATTATAGATGGATATAGGCTCAAGAATTGTTGAAAAGGCCCGGCAAAGTGTATAATTTTAAATATTAAATTTTTTATTTTAATGAATACTTATTAATTCATTTTTATATGAAAATTTCTTATATGCAACATAATTTTAGCTAGCTGGCGTTTTAAATTGTGCACCATATCTTGCAAATATATATTGCAAAATGTTGTTGGTTGTTCTTTTCTTTTCTTTTTGATTTTGAACCTAAGAAAAAAATATATATTTGAAGTACATATTTCAGGCAAAAACCAGAGCCAGACAATTATAAAGAAAGGTCTAGCTTAAAGCCTTAAACTTGAAAAAGCCTAGCCCTTATTGCTACTTCTAAAGACGGGTGTTAGATACAATTCAAATAAGCTAAATATATATATTTTTCAAGTAACGCCATACACTTACCATCAATAATGTTTATCACATTTACAACAATTTAATTATAATTAATTTTCGTCAATCTAACGGTTATAATTTATTGGGTTTATTAAAAATTAATAATTAATTATAAGTGTGACCCAATAATTTTCAATAAATTATAACCGTTAGATTGACGAAAATCAACGATGATTAGATTGATTGTAAGCATAATAAATTTTTGTGGTGGTAAATATATTGTTTCCCATTTTTCAATCCTTTACTGAAAAGACCTATGGGGTTTTTTTTTTTTTTTGAAAAGTCATACTACGAAAATGTAATTACACTCCATTGTTTGTAAATATGGAGTAGAAGTTAATATACACAATAGAGCGCGCTACAAAAATTCAGGCATTTAGTGGAGGTCATATTTTCATATTGTGGAGGTCTTTGACCTCCCACAAAAGACATTTGTGGCATTTACCCAGACCCCAGTTCTGCCTTCGCCACAACATAGTTTGTGGGGGTTTTTTGTGCAGTGCCACAATTTGATGAAGTATTTTCTGGAGGTTCGAGACCCCATAAATATTGCACTTTCTGGAGGTTTAAGACCCCCCACAAACGTTGTATTATTTATTGGGATTTAGTAACCTCCACAATATCCCCACAAAATTCATCATTTTCTAGAGGGCATAGACTGCTACAATTTATTTATTATTTTGGCATATTTAAACCTCCACTAAATACTAGTTTTCCAAATTTGAAAAGTGTGTATATCATAATTTTGGAATTAGGCCCCATCACTTGATTTGTTAGCCAATTCATTATTTATGCTTTTTTTTGGAGGTTACAAGGAATTGAACACAACACCCTACACTACACACACTCTTAACACACACACCCCACACCACTAGGCTAACCCTAGTGGTCAATTCATTATTTATGCTTGCACTTGGTTAATACTTTTTTAAATAAATAAAAGTATAAATATACTCTAACACCCATATACTATAATATGAAGTTGAATTAATGTCTAGCAAAACAAAAACTTACATAATGTTCTCTTATCTAATGAAGGGCATAACAACATTCATACTAGAATATGTCTCACTATAATTCTACACATTAATAAAATATATAAAGTTGATTCAATGTTGTGTAAATGAGAAAGAGTGGGAAATTTACAATTATCCACAACAAAAAACACATATAATAAATCCATTTTAAAACTCTAAAATCCATACGAATCTCTAATGATGCACTTATCACTTTACAGAACACAAAATCATAACAAAAATATTGAATTCATATAACCCAATTCAAGGGTGATTACTATCTAATGAAGACCTTCCGCGTGTTGGGATAGCTTCTTCACTCCCTTCATCCTGTGAAAAACCAATTTATTGTACCCTTTTAGCATGCTTAAAAGAATGAGGCACTTAAACTAATAATATAAAGTTCAACATTAATAATAAAATGTATGAAATCATTACCACTGGAGTAGAAGTGGTACCAAACAAAGCATTCAACTCTGGAGGAATCTGTCCTTCCTTCATTTGTATATATGCAGGTGTTGACACGTGTCACAAAAAATTAACAATTTAATCGTAAAACTTCTGAAGGTTATAACTTTTGACTCGGGTATCCGAATCGGGTAATTTTTTTTGATTCCACATAACTTTTTGAGATCTACGTAATGACATCTCATTTGACATATTTTATCTCTCACAAACATAATTTAAATTTGTAACAATGAGACTTTATCTTATAATCGTTAGATTGTGATCCAATAAATTAATAATTAATAATTAATTAATAAGTGTGACCCAATAAATTATAATCGTTAGATTGATGAAAATTAACGGTTAAAATTTAGTAGTAACAAGTAATAAGAAACAAATAGTAATTATAACATTTCCTTTATTTATTTCTATAACAACGGGAGACAATGTAGTTTAATATAAAATAAAAAGAAAAGTAATATGACAATAACATGCCCCCAAACAATACGATAATATAATTTATAAAAAAAATTATATTTGATTAAACTCCCAAATCCTAATAGTAGGAGTGTTCATGAACCGATACAAACTGATTCGAACCGCAATGACTGAACCGAAAAATCGATAACGGAATAAACCGAAAATTGAAAAATCGAAAACCAAAAAAAATCCGCAAATTTTAATTAGATTGGATCGGTTTTCGGATGAGTTGATGAAAACTGATCCAATATATTAATTTTCCTCTACCTAATTGAATTTTTCCCCAATCATAGCCCAAAAATTTCTAAACCTAACACCTGTTAACCCATCAACTACTCCCAAGAAAAAACCTAATCACATCTCATCAACAAAATTTCATCTATATAGAGCTTCGTATCTCATTGCCCAAAAAAAACTTTATT